ATTTTTTAAAATAAGTGATGGCCCACAAGAAAAAAATTATCATAAACAAAAAGTTATCTGAGAAAAAACTTTTAAGACATTTCAATATAATTAGAAGAAAGTCCCATAAAATCTTGTTTTTTGAGATAAATGTCATGAAGCATTTATTTCAAGAGACAACCTTTATGGTTCTGTTTATACATCTTACAGTCCTGTTCTTATAGTTATTAAAAAAATCAAATTTCAGGCTTATAAAATAAAGGTTGTCCATGAATTTTTATATATTGTATTTTTATTTACTTAGAATTTAAAATATTATTTCTTGAGCCAAATAAACATTCAAAATTTAATTCTTTCTTGTGACTCACAGCAAGATAGAAACCTCATGACATAGCAAGTATGGCCAGCTCATGGCATCACTAAACATCTCACTCTATTTTTGCAAGTAAACTTTTTGTTTGATCACCCAATAGATTCGTAACTGATATAAAATAAATTAATTTGTATCAGTTATGAATGTATTAAATAATTGTTATTAACTGTACAATGTTTAATCACCACTCTTAACATTCAAAACTAAAAAACCACAACCTGACTACATCAGAAAACTTATGCTGAACTATTTTCATTTATTATAGAAATTACACAGGGAGTTGACCATATACAACATAAGTTTGGTATATAAATATAACCTGACTATTTTCAAGAGTTTATAAAATGACAAAGTCCAATACAATCACACTGATTCCTTTGGAATTTATTCTAATGAACAACATAATTTTTAACAGAATATTAACATATGTGCAAGCTACCAAATGCAACCTGTCACAAAGAATTAAGAAGCACACTATATCATCAACAAGAAATTATGCAATATATAACATTGGTAGCTTATGCTAACCAACAGGAAATACAAATTAATCAGAACAATGCTAAGATTGTCAGGATGACTAAAGACTGTAACTCGCTAGAGCACTTGGAGAAATATAAAGCTAATAGAAATCCCAACTACATTAATTACTGGAATACGGATTCGTTATCTACAGCACAGAGGTCTCTTTACAAACTCTGATGTGGCCAAAATTTTAAAAATGTGCTTCCGCATTTTATTAATTTCATATTCTTGTTAATTATTTATTAATTTCATATTTTGTAATTTTACAGTTAGTTTATTATTAATTATGTTTACTTTTAATTTCTCTTGTATTTAAAGTTTTATATTTATTCTATTTTGTATTTCAATGTTCTTTCCATTCAAATGTTCTATTTTCAAAAGTTCAACTGACAAAGACCTATCAACTTGAGTTGAAAACATTTTTGTTTCATTAAAGCTAAATGCCAGAGCCCATTTTAGGGTGGAATTCTTGTGAAAGCTTTGTTTAGATTAGCAAGATGTCATTAGCATATATAAAAGACAACCGTAAAGTTGACAAAATATGCAATCTATACAAACAAAAAAGAAGAAATGACATGTCATCAAGCATTTGGCACCTCCAGACATGTAGGGAAAGATCGAGATATTGACAAATCAAAATTTAAACATCAACATATGCTATAATAGAGAGCAAATTAGATTTCACAGCTTTTAGACCCACAAGCAAAAATGGAACATGTCATAATAAACCAACTTTTCTCTTTGTGATAAATTGAAATTGTTATAATTAGGAAACATACATGTTTTCTAATTATAATATATATAAATTACACACATACATTTTTTATATATATTTGAGATAATATATTGTAAAGAATACCAACTCTACGATTAAAATAATACAAATTATTTTCATACATAAGGTGAGTTGTAAAAGTTTAGGTCCACTCCATTCTGTCAAGCAAATATAACACAAACACATCTAAAGGTTGGTTGGTTGGTATTTTTTAGCACAAGGGCCACATAGGTCAAGCTGCGCCACGTCAAATGGTCAGTTTGTCTAACTTAATATAAAATAACAACAAAAACAATAACAAGTATATACAACAATAAAAATAAGCAAACAACAATATATATAAAAGTAAAAGGTAAATAAATAATTAAATCTCTTTATACATATTAATGACTATCAGAAAGTCCAGTGGGCTGTTAAGATTTGGCTTTTAGCCCAAAACCTCTGTCAGACTTGCATTTTCAGAACACCATCTACACTTTATCTCAAAGGCAGAGCAATTGCACAGTGTGTGTTTTATACTTAGAGAGCAGTTGCAATACTGGCATATTGACTAGTCATCACCCTTCAGAAGGTATTGATGAGTCAGCCGAGTATGTCCAATTCTGAAACGAGTAAGAATAACCTCAGATCTCCTATCATACTGTTTATTATGTGTCCGAAGTCTGTGTGTCCTTACATTGTCATTCTGATAAATAAAGGAACCAACACATACATTTCTTTATGTAGGTAGCAGAAACATGTAAAAATAATATGGCATCATTAAACTAGCATATTATTTTTACATTTTTAGACGACTGTAAATGTATAAACACACAAAGTGAGATAATCATGTGTTGCAAAAGTTTAGTTCCACCATGTGGAATTACACATTATCATTACACATCTTTCTTGCACCCAATCTCAAAAACACGATGAGGCATGCTGTCTACAAGTTGCCAGAGCACATCTTGACTTATCTCGTCCCATCTTGTCCATGCAGAGATAATGGCTGTCTGCAGTTGTAGATTGACATTTGTTGGCATGTGCCTTCCTAGTGAAGATTCCCAGAGGTTCTCCATGGAGTTACGGTCAGGGAAATTATCAGGCCACTCCATTACTTGAACACCATTATCTAAGAACCACTCCCATGTAGTGTGTGCCACATGGATTGGTGCATTATCCTGTTGGAATGTCCAAAATGGTCATCCAGCCCTCTCTCCAAATGCCATGAGGTGCACATCCAACAGTTCTTGGTTATCTCTGGCACCCACTCAGAAATGCGATGTTAGTCTTCCCATTGTATCCAAATCTGGCCCAGACCATTACTGATCCTCCTCCCATTTGGCATTTGGAAACAATCTCATCCTCTCTGATGTCATGCCAGTAGTAGCAGTAGCCATCAGGGCCATCTGAATTAAATTTTTTTTAAACCAAATACTACTCGTCTCCATTCTCTACTCCAACTTGAATGTTCTCCCATTTTACCCATGCTATTTTTTTAGGCTGGTGTTAATCTGGGCTGACATTTCTTCTTCTTGTACAGCAGTCATCTGTTGCACCTTACAGCTCTCAACAGGGTCAAATTACAAACATTAACCATTGGATCACGTGCCAACCGTTCAAGTGACGATCCCGATTGTTTTAGGGCTTTTACGACCAGTCGAAGTTGACATTCACCGAGCAGCCATTGACATCCCGAATGGAGTGTTTGGTCTTACTCCTCTCGGTTACGTACACGATCATTCACCATGTTACGTGACCAATTAATCCTTTTTGCTACGGCCCCGTTCGGACAGCCCTTGCCGCTTTAATGCATCAATCTTGCCCCTCTCACAGGCGGATAACACCTTGCCAGGGCCCATGTTTCCATAAACATTATATCAAGCAAATCACACAATTCAAAGTTGCAGCAGTATAACAATTTCACTCTTAACATGCACAAAATAGTTTGTAACATTTAACTTGCAGATTCATACCATTATTTCTCCTGGGGATGTGGTGGAACTAAACTTTTGCAACACACGAATTATCTCACTTTGCGTGTTTATACATTTAGTCGTCTAATAATGTGCTAGTTTAATGACGACGTATTATTTTTTTATGTTTCTGCTACCTACACAAATAAATGTGCGTTGGTTTCTTTAGATGTGTTTATGTTGTGCTCGCTTGACCGAATAGAGTGAACCTGAACTTTTGCAACGCACCTTACAATCATATAGGGTAACAAACATTTTCAAGAACAGACCAAACAAGCATAATCCACTACCAACAAACAGATAAATGCAAAGTGCAGGGCAAAGATACCTAAGATAAGATAAAATGCTATTTTAATCACAACAAAAACCACAATCAATATCACGGCACACTCGTTAAAGAAAACGCAAAGAAGAAGCGTAATTTTCTAATAATGCGCACCGAGTTCGAGACGGGGTACAAATTTCCACCCGGCTCTCGAGCCACTCCCCAGAGGGCAGGCAAATTAACTTCTCCGTCCGCCAGATACAACAAAAACACCGGATACAAAATACCGGGCAAAAGTTTTCGAAAGAGTCGGAGAATTTAAAAACCACTTCGTATTTTATTTTAGAACTCTCCAAGAGGAATATTCGAGTTCGAAGGTTTTCGAATAGTTTAAGTCTTACCGTATTTTCGTTAGCGGAGCAAATTCGTTTATCACGAACAACACTCCGACGGGCGACACTCCACTAAATATACGGTGCGCGGAGCGTCAGAACCTACGAACGAAACTTACGCGAAAGGCTCGGTCTCTTATTCAAATCTAAATATAACAACAAAGATCCGGTTTAATTTTTCGCAAATATTCCAAAAATAAGAAAAATAGTCCGAAGGTTCCTACGGAAGAGGAAAGTCACTAGGTATTTTCGGGGCCCAAAACGAACACACTTTCACTTTTATAGTCCTTTCACGAGTACGAAGGACGCAGAGACGATTTATCTTCTTCTAAATTACTAAAAATTCAGACACAATTTAGATAATTGGATCACAGTTTACATCCCGAAACGATTGCCAAATATATTTATATTATAACGAAGACGTAAATTATCGAGCACGGGCTCGTCCGGAGACTTCAGATTTACAATTTTGACAAATTGGACAAAATTTTAGACGTAAATAAAAAGGAATTTTCGAACTGATAATAGGCTATTTGTATTTTGGCGTTAGGTTACTGTAAAAAGTATATAAATCTTATCTCGGCACTGGAATATTTTATCTACTGGAGTTTTGTTGACGTTACGTCAAAATTTAAGAGGGGAAAAAACAAAAATGATAAGTTTGGAATGGGAAAGAATGGGTTACGAAGTTCGATTCGGGGATGAAAAAGTGGAAGTAGAGAAAAATAAATGCGCTTACTTTACGTATTTGTGCCTCTCGATATTCAAACATATTCGCTTGGTTAGTGGAATTTTTCCCATGCAAATAACAAATTAGCCGAGCAACACATAGGTGTATGGCAATGTCCGGAATGACCCTCCCTCTCGATTGCACAAATCCACCTTCCCTAATGATTTGTCACTTTACTCTCTTTTATTTCTCCTGCCTTTCTCATCGCCCCGACGATAACTATTTTTAACCATTAATCAAAACGCGTCAAATCCGATATTTTCCTTTCCAAAAAAACTTTTCGTCGATGGCGCTACCGACATTTTCTTCCCGTCGTTTGTAAACATTTACTATAAACGATGCTAATTCGGCCGTTCCTCTTTCCTCCTAACGGTTACGGCCTAAATTTACCGATAATTGTCGAATTTTCCCTTACACTTTACGCGTCGTCGGCCGTAAGATATTCGTTTACTTGCACGAGGAATCCGGGTTCGAGTCCCATTCGGACTTTCTGCCCACGGGGCGGAAAGAGTTTAAAAAAAAAAAAAAAACTGGAAGTATAAGAGAGCCTCTTTTAGCAATCCCATTATGGGTTCGGCCAAGCCCGCAATGGGGTGGCCGGGTGGTGAGGGACGGGGCCAGTCGTGTTCGGACGGACTACTTCCCGAAAAATTCGTGGGGATTTTTCGACCCGTTCGGTTTCGATTCCGAAGCCCTCGGAGCGGTAGACCGCCACCTTTACCGCTCGGCCATCGAAATACTTTCACTTAGAAGGGTCGTTCTGGAATGTATCTTTTATCCCTCCGCTCTACTTCGTTGCCGATCGGAGTTTTAAAAAATTATTCCTGAATAAACCCGATGCGTAATTATAAATGGAAGTAAAAATTACGTGCGCGTAACTTCGTCAAATAGAAAAAAATCGAATCTATCTGATAATTAGGGACTAAAATCCTAATTGTTAAAAAACCGGGAAATCTAACTTTCTCGAAGTTTTCTGCTTTCGCTATCAAACAGAATAATATCTTCAAACACGGCCGCCCGCCGTGTTTGAAGATATTATAATGGAGACCCGGGACAAAATATGTATTGGGAGCTCTGTAACAAATTAAACTGTTATATTAAAGTAAAAGAAATAAACGAAAAAAATTGTATAGTGGCCAATACTTCTTTGGAACCCGAGGCATTTTATGTCTTTTGCTCCCTCTTGGCGTCCCTCCTTTCAAATAACATTTAGCTTCTTTCGGAAAGTTTTAATATTTAATATATTAACGCTATTAAATATAAATTTATAACGACAATTTTTGGTTTTGATTATCGAAGTATCGACACGAGGAATCCGATTCATCGTGGGCATGGGCGCAGAAGTAAGCTGTGGAAACGGAATCCAAATAAGGGTATAGAAAAACTAGTGATAATCGCGATGTAATGAAAATATCGCGAATTTCGACATAGCTAATGCCAACATCGTCATTGCGTTATTTATAAAAAAAAATATTTTCGGACATGTTTTCGGAAAATATCGATTGACACCGGATCGGCGTTTTATCATTGTCTTACTACGAAATTGGATTTTTTTTCAAGTTCCTACATTTAGCATTCTAAGTGAACGGTGAAAATATAAAAGAAAGTTTCGGATATTTACCGGCATTACCCTCTCCGTTACTAAAGTGAAAATAAGTCGAGATGGATTTATTTCTTAACAAATGTCGCTTCAAGTAAACATAAGTTTTCCCGATTAATACTGAACTATCTTTTACTTCGCAGTTTTCGTTTTTGAAATATTTTCCACTTGATTTGAAACAAAAGTTCTTAATTAAATTTGTAATTCATCAAATTTGCCAGTTTATGGATTGGTTCTTTTCATTTTTAATTCTCCTTGCACTGTGGGTCCCGAGGACTTTTTAATAGTGGCCACGATGGATTCGGCTCGGCCCACAATAGAGACGGTTGGGGGTCGTGAGGGACAGGCCCGACATATTCGGAACAGTCTGCCCACAAAATATTCCTGGAGTGGCTTTCTCGGATTCGATCCCGGAACGATAAGTTGACGCTTGTATCTCTATCTTCTTCTTCTTCTTCTTCTTCTAGTGTTTATATGGAGATACTAGCACTAACAGGCTCTTTCTCCGACGAGCTGTGAGTTGACGCTTGATCGTCCTGCCGTCTGTAAATAGTCTTTTGAATGGTCCGTAAAGCGGATACAGAACGGATTTTTCTTTAGTTTCTTTTTCTCACTTCGATATAACTTATTGTCCTCGCAAAAAATTATTTTGTTTCTGGACCGTAAATGCGATCGATGTACGGTTACTAAGAAAAATCGAACTGTAGCAGAGTACATCTATACCGAGGAGGAATCGGTACAAACTCCGATAAACGAAGATCTGCGAATTAAATTTGTATTCCGAATGGTTCTCGACCTCTGGTGAACGTCGGATAAGAAGGACGTAACTAATTTGTTTATTTGCCTACAAACCCTTTTTGATGGTTACAAAAATAGGAGATTGTATCCGACGAATATTGCCGATATTAACTTTCTAGTAAAAACTATTTTGCATTTTTCTAATTCCATAAAATAAAACACAGGCAAAGGCTCGCATATGCCTATACGTATTGGAAAAAGAGTCTGTAATCTTTAAATTTCGAAAATTTTCCCGACCAAAACTACATTAAGAGACGTTTTCTAGTCGACAGTTTGGATTTAATAGTAAAGTTCATTTTTGTAAGGCTACAGATTCCCGTTTGCCGTTTACCTGGTGGCATACGCCATATCATTTAAGGAATGTCGGTCGTTCCGAGAACCGAAATGTTTTAGTATTAAAAAAACGATCCCCATCCGATTTCATCTACCGGTCATACGGGTCACTCCAGAAAACTTTCCTACGAATACGCTCGTATCCCAGACGGAATTCCAAGGATACTCGACGGTTTATTTGTGGTTTGAGTTACAATTAGGATAAATCCCGTTCCTTCCGGACTAATTTTCTTCCCTTTCCACGATATTTCGGCGAAGATCAAAGCGAAGAAGGACTTGAATTCCCGCCAGTGACGCATTGCCGGCGGAGATCGCTGATTGGTGGGAAAGAGGGTTCGTGGCTTTACCATGCAATGTTCGTGACTCGTGATGTAAGTTCCACGCAATATAACATTTCGAGTAAGTTTCTTATTAAATATCCTTTAGTTTTACCACGTTACCTCGATTTTTACCATCGAATCGTTTCGTCCGAGAAGGGAAAAGCTACCGTAATTGTTTTCTCTGACCTTTTCGTGACGACGGCTAAGATCACAAAATGGCGGACGGAACGTGAAAGAAGTTCACGAACGAACGAAGTCGCGATGGCTCCGATCACGATTCCACTCGGGACCTTTCTTCCGTCCGTTCGCACCGAAATTTGTCGAATCGTCTCGTTTATTTCCTATTTTAACATCGGCATTCCATCAAAAGCGCTTCGGGTCCAATTTTAAAGTATAATTTGCTTCGTTGCAGTATTTAATTTTTTCCTATCGAAGTTATTGGAAATTACACCTTTCTTTACAGTAAATGTCGTTCGACAAGTGCATCCAAATAAGCAATTTTGCACTTAAAATCGCTTTTCGTCTCGTCTATGCCCTTACAATAAACTTTGAATGAAAAAAATACCGATAAATAAATCCATCTGTTATCTAACTTGCCTTTTTTTTTTTTGTTTTGAACTCTTAAGGCTTGATTAGACTGAGCAAACAATTATAAAACCAAAGGACAAATTGCAAATGCCCAGATCTTCCCAATTAAACTTATGAATATCCATTTTAGGGATTACTAGCAATTAAATATAAAATTTGATACAGTAAATAATGATTTTAATAATTATGTATAAATTTCTGAGTGGTTTAAGGCAAATTTTGTGACTTTGAACTTATTTTCCTTGTTAAAGATGTTTAATTCCTAAAAATATTTATTACCGTGCCCGATATCGAATTATGATACTGTCGGGTATCGTAATTTGATTTAAAAGCATCAAATATATATGCTTTTAAATCAATTCAATAAATGAAAAATAAGATGATGACGAATGTATAAGAAAAATTCTTTTCTAATATGTATTTTTAGTCTGCGTACGTGCCGTGTGAACTACGTAATCCACAAAATACGGAGTGTCTCTTTTACCTTTATTGTTTTACGCAATAATAGGAAAAATTAAAAAATGGAAAAAGTGGGCCGCTAATAATTTGGCAAAGTTTCGGTTGGATGCAATTGCATCCGAAACGGATTAATTGTCACGTGCGAAAGAAAGAAAATCGCGTCGACGTAACTGACTTGCCGGGATAATTACGTAGATGAGAAAATTTTTAATCTAGGTTTTAAAAAATTGTAAATTTAAATTAAGGAAATAGAGCGAGAGTAGATTATTCTAGTATATAAATTGCTATGATTACAAATGTGAAGTGAACTGAAGCAAAAAATTGTTCGATTACTGTAATAAGTTTTGGCAATTTTCGTCAGGTTTCAAAATAAAAACAATTTAATGTAAACTTAAATATATGTGTATATATAAGCTTAAATGATTTCATATCTTTGATTGTTCTTTAGATGCGTTTGAAACTTTTGACTTGCCGAATGCTTGGACTGAAAACGTTTAAACTTTAGGCAAATCAATATTGTTTAATATAAAATTGGCTTTATTTTGACCTAGAAAAAATTATTTTTATTATTAATTACGAGTTAACTTAATGACTGATTAAACTACAGCAGTGATATTTGAAATACAAAGAATATACAAAAACTTATCAGCAATGAATACAAGATACAATTAAGGTAAACTCCAACAAAGCAATTTCTTTTTATCTTTTGTTATACTACGAGATATAAATGCATATGTTGAAAATACCTAAGAATAGAAAAAACAACGAGGTTCTAGTCTGTTATATTCAGTAAGAAGTTAGAAGAATAAAGTTAATGAGATCATTTTTTCCAATTTAAGCTTACTGCCCCCTAAAATCTTATCATGGAAGCCTTGGGGTTTGTGGATCCCTGGTTAAGAACCTATGGTCTAGAGCAGGGGTCACCAAACGAAGGCCTGCCAGGTCGGTTCATTCGGCTTGCCATCCCACTGTGCCACAAATAAGGTAAAATGTAATTATTTATATGGAAATATCATAGTTTGTAGATAAACTTACTATGTAGAAAAAATAACACTAAGTGTAAGTAAAATGCCAGAAGTGGTTCAGTCTGATTTTTGCATCTGTCATCAATATAATTTTTAGAGAAAATTAGTGAAATAAAAAATTTGGCGACTTTTTGTGACTTTGAATATCAGAGCACTTTTTGTGTAAGTACCTGCAATGAAATTTCTAAGAAAAGAGATTACGAGCTTGCTGCAGCAATTGTGTTTGTGTATTGGTAAATAAATTTGTTATCTTTATTTTGTATGTATTCACTGTTGCGGCCCGTGTTTGTCATTCTCTCAGTTATCTGGCCTGCTGTGAAACATGTTTGGTAGCCCCTGGTTTAAAATTATGGTGTACACCTTAAGGGTCTTTTTCTCATTTATTTGATTTTTTCCATTTGTTAATAACCTGAATATTGTTGGAATTCTTCTAATGCTATATCTTATGTCTATTTTTATATCCTTTGCTATGATGGTACGGTAGAGTCTCGAAAACTCGGCACTCGATAACCCGGCAGTCCGGATAACTCGGCCACACCCTGTCAGGGCAAAAAAATCCTTAGTTAATTAATTTTCATTATAGACAGCTTTATGCTTCATAAAGTATTTTTCTGAGGTCTGTCTTATCAGGTAAATTACTGTACACAGTGTATTCATTAATTTTCATTTTCATGTAGTAAAGGCTCTATGCCTTCATAAAGGACGTACTTTTCCTTTGTTTAAGGGTATTTGGGCAGTTTATTCTCTGTTGTATTCTCAAGTAAACAATACATACAAGTACAGTACAGTATTTTCTGAGGAAACACTCACACTTATTTTTTTTAACCTCATTCCCGATAACCTGGCATTTTCACAAACTCGGCCACCCTTCGGTCCACATTAGGCCGAGTTTTTGAGACTCTACCGTATATATTTTGTATAACCTAGTATCAAATTCAATGGTTACATGTTTATAGTCTGATTTTTCTTTGTTTCCTTTGCTGACTTGCTTTTTAAATGTTTAGCTAGCTAATTCAGTAATAAGTTTTAAACTATAGCCATGCTGTGTGGTAAGTTTTTTAACACTTTCAATCTCTTATCATATGTATATCCTTCTATAACAAAGAGTGTAAGCTCATTTAATGAGTATTCTAAATGCTGCTGTTTTAAAATTCTTCAGATTATTAGAGTTAGCAGGTATAAAAAAGAAGAGTAATCAGGTTTGTGATAGACTCTTGTGAGTATTTTATCATTAGACAGCTATTTCTGTTTCTAGGTTTAAATAATGTACAGTAATACCTCGACTTATGCGAACCCGGAGTTATGCGATTTTCAAATCTCGTGGATTCTTCTTTTGTTTGAGTGCCACGCAACTCTTGATTACTCACTCCCCCCACACTATTGTTTGGCTTACATGTTCGGACGTGTCGCGCAGAATCGACACATAGCTGCAATTTATTTTGTGTTATTTATTTCTGTGTTTGTTATATCTACGGAGACTTGAGAGACTCTATGTGGTGATTTCTTGTAACCGTGAACGAATCAAAAGACGAGATAAGATTAACGAGAACATTTATTAGCTTACATACATCCGACTTGGATTTTACACAAATTGCAAAATTATACCCTGACTTACGCGAATTCAACTTACGCGGTTATCGCTCGGTCCCACCTATCGCGTAAGTTCGGGTTATTACTGTAATTGGGTTTTGCTAGATTGGTCTAGTTCTGGTTTCAAACCACAATTATCATTATTAATGGTTTACAACAGTTCTTCTATGTTAGGTTTTGATTTCCAAATTATTAAAATATAATTCATGTACCTTGTGTATAAATTTATGTTGGAAAGGAATTTCTTTATGGTGTGCTGTTCCAGTATCCTAATTACTATTTAACATAAATCATTTGAAAGGGGATGTCCATCAGAACTCCCTGCATTTGTTTGTAGTTCCAATTATAAATATTACATGTGAAAAATAATATGTAGCATAATTTATGTGATTAAAGTTATTTCTGGAAAGGTACAAAAAGTATATTTTTCTTACTAAGTTAAACTGGTGAATATATGAATATATCATCTGTGTACATTAGTGATATAACTCCCAAAAAACAACAGTTTTTTGGGAGTTATATCACTGCTGCTTTGAGATATGGTAATTGCTTTTGTAGTTTTTGTCAAAATCCAATCTTTTATTCCTACTCAGCTATTTGAATTATCAAATTGATTTATTCAGTTAATAAATTGTTTTTATAATTGGATCAAGGTGTCTTTAGAGTTGATTATACTTTGTGAATCCAGTTTTTACAGTGATTAATGCTAATTAATTTTTTTTAACTGGATAAGAGCACAAATGATAAATAACACTTTGAGAAATCCAACAAATATCTTAATACTTTAAGAATGTTTTTGACCCAGAAATAATTGGCCTTCATCAGTTAGAACCAAATAAATGAACAGAATTGAACATAAAAACATTAGAGAAATAGAATATGTGTAAATTTAAATCAGGGGTTGCCAAACTTTTTTAACCGTTGACCCTCAACCACTATCCAAAGTCTCACATGGACCCCCACCGTAAAGTTTTATTACAAGTGTATGTGTATGAGCAAAAAACGAAAAAAAAAAAAAAAGTGGTCTCTGTGTAAGCAAAAAAAAAAAAAAAAAAGGCTGTGACCTCCTAGCCACATCGACCCCCTAATCAACCCCCCTAGCCGCATCAACCCCCCAATGATGTTGCATCGACCACTTTGGCGACCCCTGATTTAAATGCAACAGTAACCAATAAGAAAGAACAGATAATAACCAAAAGAACATAAAAAGTAAACTATAAAATAATAGGACATCCTTCATCTTGATCATTATGATATGGAGCATTATTGATAACTAAAACAGAATTATCTGGAAGATTTTGAATGAGTTTCTTATTTAAACAGTATTCCAAGTTGTTGCAGTACATGATAATCACTGGTTTTTAATTTAAATAATAAATAGGTTCAATTTTTTAATTGACAGAATCTTCCTTGAATGTAAAAGGGTTGAGATTATTTCTTCTCTTTTTCATATATGGATAATTAATGGCATTCTTCTGCACTTTATGAATGAAAAAGATTTATGTCATTAAATTTATTTTATAGAGCTATTTTAGTAGAAAGAATGTCTTAATGATTTCTTTTTAAAATTTTCAAAATCAGTTAGAATAAGTTCAAAACAGTATTTCAATTAAACAGGTAAATCATTGATATTAATGGAAGAGATTGTTGAAATATTTTTACTAGTTTGTTACCATTGCAAAGAAGTAATGACAAAATTCATGAAAATAAGCATTTTCAGAAAACCAAAATAAAAGGATATACTGGATTTAATTATTGTGGATGATGCTGAAAAATAGAGGAAAAAAGAAGAAAGTGAAACAGTTTGAGAAATTAGATGATATATTCAAAAGAGGTTACGTTGAATATTCCTGTTGCTGTCACCGCTGCAGAGCTGGAAAAAATGCAATGTAGATGCAGATGAGAAATCAGAATGTGTGTATGTGGAATAGAAACATCACAGAAGCTTGAACATTATATACTAACTAATTGATGCTTACCTAACAACTTCTAGCAGATTGAGTTTTTAACCATAGACATTTTCAGCTTCATTCATAGGCCCTCTTCTTGTGAAATAATAAGATAGAATTGAAGTCTTCTGAGCTTCCATATGTTTTAAGTTAACAACTAACCTCCAAAAAACCATTAACTGTGTGTTTTCACAAAAAATAAACTGTCACTAACTGTCGAATGTTAGTGACAGTTTATTTTTTGAGAAAACATACCATTATTGGTTTTTTTGGAGGTTAGTTGTTATATATCATGGTGTGCTGTTGATGTTTTATTTGTTTTAACTTATTCAAATATCCTGTTCTAAGTATTGTAAAACTTTTCAAAAGCTTCAATCATTCAGCTAATAACAATTTGAATAATTTTCAAGGAATTCCAAAATGTATTTTTGAAAAAATTCCCAGATGTCCATCTTAAATCTGGATATTAAAGTTTTAACAAGTCCCTGGATATTAAAAATTAATTTACACCTCCTTGTGCAAATTCAGCATAACTTGCCAAGCTTGTGCTAGATTTAATCTAACCTTGTTATTAATGCAACCTGGGATACAATCCTGTTTATAGAATTGAATAGTTCCAGCTGTTCTACAAAAGTTTAAAAGTTTTGATCCAGCAAACCTCTACATCAAGCTGAATATGCCAAGTATGGAAATACCTGTGTCAGTGAAATTAATCAAAGATTTTGGCTAGATGTAGGAAAATGGCTCACTGAATGGAATGATCTTAAACAGTTTATTCTCAATCAACACAAAAGAAAACAAGAGCTGAACTAATAATAAGGAAAATCTCCACCAACCTTGAACAGTCATCAAAATTACCATCTTTCTAATTTATTTCTATTACATTTGTACATTTTGACTTTTAAGAAATTTTTGAACTGAACTAGTTAAATTTTTATGAACTGATTCAACTTACTACAAACCATACTTCCAAATATGTGCAAAATAGCAGAATGTGACAGGATTATCACTCTCTATACTGCAGACTATGAGACTTTTAACAGATGAAAATAATCAAAACAATACTGCAAAATTGTCTGAAATAAACTTTTTTGGATGCAGTGATGCATACATCTTTGGAGAGATCATCTGTGGGAGAATATTTTGTTCAAGATGTATTTTAGCACTGGATGCAAAAGAATAGGTAAATCAGGCTGAAGTAATATAACACTGTTTTCAACTTCATTGATTAAAGTTTAAGCTTATAAACTTGTACAAATTTTAATATTTTGCTGTTAAATCATTTAGCAGAGCAACTATTTAGTTATTTGCTGTTGAAAGCACATTTGTGGTAAATTTCATTACTATTGGCATTATAACATTTTAAAATGCATAACATTGCACTGCAAATAAGAAAGTATTACATACCTATTACTAATAATTCTTTTCTTTTTGCATAACTTGTCAAGCATTTATAAATTACATTAAATATCAAAAGTGAAAAAGGAAACTTGTTGGCTTAATTATCTGACCTAAAAGTACACCAAAATTGTTGTGTAACTAAAAGTTAATTGATAGCAATATTGAAAGAATTTATGTGACTGACACAATCTTTAAAAAATATCTGATACCACAATGTAATGTACAATCTTAAATTTTGATGTTATAATATGAAGATTATTAAAGCAACTAAAAAACATTTTTCATTATTTTCTATCTGATGTTTTAGAATGCAGTTTACATCTAGTTAATGGAGCTTTTCTCATGTTTTCAGTGCTTATGGCAGTTTTTATATATTGTAAAAATTTAAAATTAATTACCGTTGTGTGATAATTAAAACAAAAGGAATTACTTATTTCTAGATTATAAATATCAGATTTATCATCAAATTATTTTAAATGTGTGAATTATTAAATATACTTTATAAATTTTATGTATTCATAGCATTAGCTTTGTTGTTAGTTTTTTTCTTTGATTGTATGCCATATATTTTAAAAATTTAATATTTAAAAAATTATATGGTGTAAATGACATTTTTATGCATTTATTTATCTAATGTATGTATGACTTAATTTAGATCAATAATAATATTTTTATTATTGTATACTATATTTTATTGTTTGATTTTACAGATTAATTTGAATTGAGAAACATTTGACTGAAAAACAGGTATTAGTCATGGGCTCGCAACAGTTTTGTCTGAAATGGAATAATCATCATTCAAATATTTTTTCAGTATTTGAACAGTTATTGTCAAATGAAGAATTAGTAGATGTCACATTGGCATGTGAAGGACTTAGTCTGAAAGCTCACAAAATGGTTTTATCTGCCTGCAGCCCATTTTTTCAAAGTTTATTTCTTGAAAATCCATGCAAACATCCAATTGTGATTTTGAAAGATATGAGGTACGAAGATTTGAAAGCCATTATAGATTTTATGTATCGGGGTGAAGTCAACATCACTCAAGATCAGTTGTCGGCTCTTCTCAAAATTGCTGACACATTAAAAGTTAAAGGATTGGCAGAAGTTGCCATTGAAAACAGACAGGATTGTATGCAGTTACATGAAGAAGTGCAAGAAAATATAATAATTCAGCCATTTCCTCCAATTCCTTTGCATAAACAGCCACAACCAGAATCTTCTCCCTATCACAGGAGAAAACGTGGACGACCTAGAAAGAGATCGTTAAGTGATTCAACTCATAGTGATTATGAAGAACAAGCAAATTTTAAACTGAAAGGAAAAGACTCTCAGACGGATAAAACGAATAAATCTGAAGAAAATAAAGCCGTGAATGGTACTTATCCACAAACTACAACTGGAAATTCTGAGACTGTAACTGTTTCTCAGTCTCCCATAACATCACATTCATATCGTGGTTCCAAAAACAAAAACATGGGGCTTCCTCCCAATTCATCTAATGAAACTTGCTCTGTAACTGAAGAACCAATGTCAGTAGAAGAAGAATTTGATGTTGAGCCGTCAAAATTACTGGAACAAACAATGACAACTGAAAACGTATGCAGTATTATGTATTTCTAATTATTTAATTTTATATTATTCATTATTTTCAATCTTTTAATGTAATTTCTTGCATAGTATTGAAAATTTACTAAACTAATTTATTACACAATATTTTTTATATTTATTTATAATAATTAAAAAGGCAATATCTAAACAACTACTCTCCAAACTAGGATATAGTTAATGACATACTCTGAACCAGTTATGGTGTGTAGATAATGAAAACAAACAAAATTGAATGTTTTCGACTCCTTCCGAGTTCTTCATCAGGTTTATTAATGATTCCTTGATGGTTCTTTGTTTTGGAATAAAATTCGAACAAGAATTCGAATATAAGTTTGAAAAAATTATTAAAGCCACATCGCCCTACCAGGACTCAATGAACGGCTAAACTGTGTTGTCAATCAACTCTTGCCAAACCATTGGCAAAACCATTTCCTCTTTATAATTTATGCACATAGATGTAAAACTGGATTTAAGATAGAGACCTGGTATACATAGGGTCAACTAAGTGTTCCATGGGGATCATTACAAGAACCTCTGGCTGATATAAGTCATGTGAGAACCACCATGGCCCTCTCTATTTATGCAACAGATCCGGACATTCATAGCGGACTCTAATTGGACCAAGCTCATCCTCGCTATGCTCCCACGGAACAGCTCAGATGGTTGGAAGCAGTGCACATTTTTAAATCCAGTTTTACATCTACATGCATAAATTATAAAGAGGAAATGGTTTTGTCAATGGCCTGGCTAGAGTTGATTGACAACACAGATTAACCGTTTGTTGAGTCCCAATAGGACAACTCTCTGCGCAGGTGCAATGTGGTTTTATTAATTTTTCAAACTTATATTTAAACTCTTGCTCGAATTTTATTCCAAAACTAATATCCATCAAGAAAATGTTAAAAACCTGATGAAGGTCTCAGAAGGAGTTTGAAAACGTTTGTTTTTGTTTGTTTTCATCATCTACACACTGCAATTGGTTTAGAATATGTGATTAAGACAATACCTAATACAAAGGAGAGAAAACAATGAATTTATTATGCAAGAAACTGAATTCAAAAATAATTATAAAAGGATGATTTGTTTAAAAATATTAATTTTCTGATTTAACACCTAAATTTTAAGTTTTATTATGAGTTTATTTACTTATGACCTTAATAATATTTGCATTTGTATTAATACAAGACAAAAGTTTAATGTATGGACATACAGATATATTAAAAAATACAATTAAAACACAATGAACAACAAATGTAACTTTTACAAAATTATAAGTAATATTAAACCTAAAATAAATTTACATCAAATCAAACTACAAGTTAAATTAAAAAGTAAAAAAAATACAGTTTATACTGTCAGTTAACTTGGCAAAATGGTCATAAAATAAACAAACATACCTAAAAAAGCCAAAAATATTATTTATTCAGTCAAATTAAAATTAAAACAATTGCTCAAATTCAGTACCAACTGCCTACTAGTAAAGCTTGCTTTTATAAATGGCAATAACACATCCTTGGTGCTGAAATAATCAAAATATAATATTATCACATTTATCACAAAATAAAATGGCTGATTCTACATAGAAACAGCATTAATCAAATCCTAAAAATAACTTTTAGGAAAAGCATATCTATGTAAATAACAATATTATTTATCACAAAAGAAAATACATAACCCTATCAAATATAGTAGTTAAATAAAACTGGTAATTTTTGAAATTACCGTTTTTCACAAATCACACAACAAAAAAAAAATCACAAAATCTTTGAACTGGAGATACTAAACAGTTTAGATTGGTTTTAAAAATACATTATAATTTTTTAATCACTTTTAAATTTATATCACAATACAAATAAAAATCTGATCCAAGAGAAGGGACAATGTATTTGTACTGAAATAAAGTGTGATATTTTTTAATTCTATAACAAAAATTTAAATAATAATTATCAATCATGTAATAAAAAGATAGGCTTGAAAATAATTAATTTAAATTAGGTTATCTGTACAGTAGAGCATTGTTTATTTGAATCAATTGGGGACTGGGGTTGTTTGGATAACTTATTTTTCTGATAACTGATTATATACAAAAAAAAATATATTAACCAATCCTGTGTTAAAATTTTTCTCCGTTGCGTGTCGCTTTGCATTGAATTTTCGTCGACGTTAAGCCTAATGTAAACTTTTTAAAATAATAATGGTGGCTATTGTATCATTAAAAATTATTTCTTTATTTTTTACAAACAAAATAAATATATTGAAAAATATAAAAACAAAAAAAATATACTTTAGAAGTTAATCTAGTATCAAAAATGTTCAATTCAGCACGACACACAGTCCTCAGAAAAACACCACACAAAAGTGCCAGTGCTGCCAGCTAAAACACACACACAAAAAAAAAATATATTGGAGTAGCCCAAGATATAGCCAAAGATTGCAGTGCCACAGCACTAGTGAAAATTAAATTTGCTGACCGGAATTCTTTCAGATAAACAATCCTCTACTGTATATTAACTGTGCATTTCCAAGATATAAACCAGCAGTCTGCAACCTTTCTGACCTCTCAGACCATGAATCCCACGGACCACTATCATGAATTTTTTTAAATGATACAAAATCTGTAGAATAATTTTCATAAAAGTTTAATTTTACTATATTAATATGAAACTCTCATGCTTAATTATAACAAATTAATGCAAGTACATTGCTGCTTGTTTGAAATAAGTTTATGGATTCTTAGTGCATTTTCACGAAGGACGACAATCGCACTCACAATATTGATTATTGTTCATTATTTATTGATAATAGTCACTTCATATTTGGTTTTAGATTTGAATAAAAAAAAACCCAGTGTGTGAAAAAAACAACTAAGCATTTTACATTTCTTTTGTAATACTTTTTCTAACCTTCAGTTGATCAATGTCCAAATTTTTTGGTGGACCATCAATAGTCCACAGACCACTGGTTGCCGACCACTGATATAAACAAAACTTTTATTCCAGTGCATTTGTACAACCTTAGATTTTGATACTAATCTTGTAATTAATTATAAGATTTCTTATATGTGCCTGTCTATAATGGAATCCCATGGGATTGAGCAATTCTTCTGTAGTAGATAGACTTTCACTACATACAGGTTACATACTACAGGCAACCATTGGTTAACATGATTAATTAATCCCTTGATGCTATCATGTATATCAAAATTGCATGTACTCAACTGAACAATTACTACTTGCTAGTACAAATTTTTGCTTAATAACAAATATTTTTATTTCAATTTTAATTTTGTCATCAGTAATAGTTTTCTATGATAAAAATGAGTAACTAATTTAAAAATAAAATGAAACCAAATATTCTACTCAGCCCTTTAAATGTTTAATGAATTATCAAACATCTGATGCTGAGAACATTTATTACAAAAACATTAACGTTTTTGACCTAATATGATAGGCCATCTTCAGATGCAGTGAAATTTGAACATATTTTAACTTAACATTAAAAACAACAGAATGTTCGAACACTTTTACATTTAAATTTAAAACAAAATACTAGATATATTAACAAATAAATAATAAAATGAAACAAAATATACTAAATGAACTAATACAATAACAATGTAAATAACACAGGTCTGCAATGAAAATATTTCCTGAAAACTAAGCATTGTTTCTGATGTATTTTTGGACGCTGATTTCAGAAAAAATAACCAAAAAATTCCATCTGTACAGTTTTTTCACAATATGAAATTTTCGGTTTTCAGTCTTTGTGTTTTTATGAATATACAATTAACATGTAATTTATTTTTGTTTGCCCTCTAAAATTCATTAATATATATATAAATAAATGTATGTATCTTATTTATTTTTGTTATTTTATAATAAACAATAAATGAAATATGCTGTATAACAAATATGCTTCAATACCAGTTGGACATTCTGTGCACTACATAGAATGCTATGAAAATTTAGCTGTCATTTTGAACAAACTTAAATACAAGGATTACATGTGGACCATATGTGGGAATTTAAAAGTAATTGCCATGCTTCTTGGACTTCAAGGGGGATATACAAAATATCCATGCTTCCTGTGTGAATGGGACAGTAGGGAAAGGAGTCAACATTGGATTAAGAGACAGTGGCCAGTAAGAGAGAAGTTTGAAATTGGCAGCAAAAATGTTATTAAGAAAGCTTTGGTTGACTAAGAAAAGATTCTTATGCCTCCACTTCATATAAAACTTGGTTTGATAAAACAATTTGAGAAAGCTCTAGACAAAGAAGGTCGGTGTTTCAAGCACTTGATTCATGCATTTCTTGGATTATCTGCAGCCAAAGTGAAGGAAGGTGTCTTTGTGGGTCCAAATATTCGAAAACTTATGAAGGATGAAAAATTTGAAACATGTATGACAAAGGTTGAAAAGGAAGCTTGGAGCTCCTTTAAAGAAGTTGTTAATAAATTTCTGGGAAATTATAAGGATTTCAACTTCAAACAAATTGTACAAAGTGTAAAACAAAAATATGTATGCTCTGTAACCAATATCCGGCGTGAAAACTCCAAACAAAGATTGGCAAACGCTTTCAATGCCCCTCCTGGGCTCTTCTTCAGGCCAAATTTACTGTAACTGGATTCTTAAATCAAATGTTTGTTCGAAAAAACATTTGATTTAAGAATCCAGTTACAGTATCATATATATATATATATTAGGTAGAAAATGTTAATGCTTGTGTAATAAACATTCTCAGCATCATGTGTTTGATGATTCATCTATATATATAAAATTGCTTGTCCTGACTGACTGACTGACTCATTCACTGATTCATCATCGCCCAGAGCAAACCGCTGAACCTAAAGAGGTGAAATTTGGTACACAGTTAGGGTACGTCATGAAAACGCTCACTAAGAAGGGATTTTTCGAAATTCCCTGCGGGGGGAGAGGGGGGATTAAGTCTTAATCGGAAGAACGGCTTCTACTGTACTATTTTAGATGCAATTTTTTGTTTTTATCTGCGTTTTAGTAGGGTATACCATGGGAATGCACACTAAGAAGGGATTTATCGAAATTCCCCCGTGTGGGGAGAGGGAGAGGATTAAGTTTTAACCGGAAGAACGGCTTCTACTGTACTATTTTAGATGCAATTTTTTGTTATGTTTCATCTTCATTAAGTACTTAAGTGTATTAAATTAATAACATTTCAGACATTGTTATAAATATTTTTATATATTTTGATTTTTTAACCAAATGTTTGAACCTTTTTAAATTATAGAACGATTGTAAACATTCCAGAAAATTGATCAAATTGAAAATAGTTTGTTTGATTCTCAGCAATTCTCATCATTCTCGGCGGTAGATGTTATATAACAATTACTATGGTTGTTGAAATACTG